AGTCGGCGGCCCCTTACTATGAGGGGTGATACTCAGCAGCTCAGTGGCCGGCAGCAGCAGCAACCTACACACAGTGCTCTATTCGACTTCATATTTCTACCTATGAAACAACTAGCATGTACTACTATTCACTATCACTCATCATTGAGTCTCTCTCCTCTAGGTTGGCAGTTGGTCGCGGGGTGCCTTTGGATGGCAGCTTGTGCGTACGTAAACTGCATTTCCCAGGTAGGGGATATTCACGTGTTCTCCTGAGAGGCATCAGTGACGTTTAGATATATGTCGATAAATTTCAAAACGAGCACTACCACGGCCGAGTCCCTGAGCTTCTACCGGACCTGGGATTTTATTTCCTCCCGCATATTGAGATACCACACCTTGCCGACTTCTGGAATATCGCCATTGTGGTGGGAACTATGGTTCCGGTAATGGGGACAGACAAGGGGATATCATTCGTATAAAGGATATTCATTAACGTGACAGCAGTACTGATAATGACAGTACTTCTGAATAGCGACCTTTCACGGTTCACATCTCCAATCATTATCTTTTATAACTAAATAACTATATATCACTAAATATATTACTCTTATATCACTCTTATATTACTCTTATATCACTAAATATATTACTCTTATATCACTCTTATATTACTCTTATATCACTGAATTTATTACTCTTATATCGCTCTTATATTACTCTTATATCACTGAATTTATTACTCTTATATCACTCTTATATTACTCTTATATCACTGAATTTATTACTCTTATATCACTCTTATATTACTCTTATATCACTGAATTTATTACTCTTATATCACTGAATATATTACTCTTGTATCACTAAATATATTACTATTTATTTTACTAAGTATTTATCACTATATCTAACTATGACTATATACGATCATTGCTCATTATCACGATAGTATCGAGGCTCACGGAGGGGCTGAGCTAACTCTGTGCCACAACCTTGACGGGTCCAACAGGCAGTCAATGATTGAGTAGAAAGTAGTATAATTTTTCATTCTCCATTTATACTAGGACCTGTGAAATACCACTATTCATACTTGGAACGCCCCGCAAGAATCTCAATAAGATAAGAATGCAGTAATGGTCACTATTCAGGTCTTATTACTCCACCCGAAGCGACGGAAAGTGGTAAGAGGAGTCTCTATCCTACACCCCTTGAGCCCGTGTGTCGTCGCTGGTAGATACTCCGTTTCCTGGCGATCCAGGGCTCAGTATTTCTGTTACGGAGTGCAACTATTATTGTAACATTGCTCCCACCACCTTACCAACTATGTGTTAACGTTTCGAGTCCGGACGAGAACGTAAACCACTTGGTTCTTCGTCACTATGGACCCCATGCCCTTTAGGTCCTGCTAGAGGCCGTCAAGATTGTGCTGGGCATCCGTTTCACGTGTGGGGACATCCTTTTCTCGGGTAGTACCAGTAGGAGCATTGTGTCATTCGATTTTTACTATTACAGGGCACGCAGCTAACTTCACTTTGATGGCCCTTATATGGACTGAGTACGGCTATGGTTTCCTAGCAGTAGATGCAAGTACGTCTACTCAGTGTTAGTCGTTTACTAATGTTGTGTGAACAGCTGCCCGAGGGTATACAGCCCTAGAGGGTGGTAACCATGGCCAGATAGGTGGGCGCCATCGGGGAGGGGCCCTGTTGCATTTTGTATTCCGCCGGCTCTTGCCGGTACTCTGGTGGGCTGCTGCTATTCTGGGGTAGGTCTGGGCCCCAGGGGGTCGGCATGGATCTGCGCCCCTCTTGTTTTGTAGGTATTTTGTCATCGTAGCGACGCGTTTTCACTACACTGTAGATGTTTTAGTGGCCATCATTATAGTGACCAAACAGTGGGGGCTGTACCACATGTAAGGCTTAGCACTGAGAGTTTGCTGCTCACTTTAGCAGTCGTAGGTACATTCGAACGCCCCGGATCATGAGGCGACTGGGCTTCCTACGGTGGTATGAGCAGAAGCAGGACTTTGCTATGGTGTCGGCAAAGAAGTACTCAATCGTGTTGGTGCGTGGGGGCTAGTTTCGATATAGGACGCCGAGAGTATCGCCAGTGGGGGACCGAAGGATGTCGATTGAGATGGGAACAATACCGGAGCATCCTGATCTTGAGGCCTTAGAAGCCGGGACCCAGGGGGGTAGGTCGATACGGAATAGCCTTGTGGAAGCCACTGTTATAATGTTAGTAACGGAGGAGGACGAGGATGACGCGAGGAACAAGGCGGCTACTACGGCTCCACAGCTCTATGGAAGGATTCGATCAAGTAGGGAAGTATATGCTGTTGAGTGTGTACATGGTGTTCACCTTCAGCTCGGTTTGGCAGTGACTACACTGATATTGACGACACCTTCGTGATTGAGGATTCCGCCTCGGAGGTCCTCGTATGACGCTAGTATGACGTTTCTCTGTTGTTGAAGTCACAATGGTCGCCTTTTGATACCATTCCTCGCGTAACATTCAGTGAACGATTACTCGGTACAGTTTATTCAACGTCAGTCGTATTGAGTTGAAAGTCACCTTCTCATGTACATCCTCCCGGCACGTATCCTTACCACGAATACTCACGGACTTGTCTCTCGAGTATATTTGTTTTTATTGTTTATATTTGTCTCTCGGTTTTGTTGGGACTTCAACTGAAGGTGACATGTAAAGTGACATTGCCAGAGACGATAGTTGACCCTCTTGATGCATTGAAATTCAACAGGTGTTTCGAGATTGAGGTAGAGCTTGACAGTGGAGGACTTCGACGACGCTGACGTTAATCGGATGAGATTTAACAGCGGCTTCAATCGACATCCACGGAGCCTTGCCATGGCCGTTGGTGTGCGCAGATGCAGATGGAGGAAGCAGAAGTCGCTGACTTGCCAGCATCACATGTCCAAACTAATGTTCAGAGGGCTGTTGACGATGTTTATAGCACTGCTAGGTTGATGTTGTGTCTATGTGGAGTAGATGTCTGCAGTGTTTGAAACAACAGTTCAGCTGTGATGGGGTCTAGTCTGGTTTTAATGTTGGGGAATACTCGCTCAATCATGCTAGCAGGAAAATTGCAAGCAGTAGACCCACCAGGCGATAACAGCATCTTCCAAGATCGGCACTCTCGAGTAACGTATCGCGCTACTTCACAAAAGTGCTTATAGAAGCAATCCTCCGCGGCTCGGTCCAGTAGCTTCAACATACCTCTTCGGGGTGCCTCCTACTACTATCTTATCTATATATCTTATCTATACTACCTCTTATCTTATTATCTTACTGCTATCATTACCTCTTACTGTACTACTATCACTACCGACCAAACAGCATAGGTCTGTTCGGACAGGCCCCATCTAACTAGCGACAAAGTGAGCATTTATAACCATCACCAAACCGTAACGTCTTGATCAACACTATCGTCCACTAAGAGGATTATATACATCACATAAGTTTCAGCCCTATCCGCATTGGAGCTCTATACCGGATCCTGCACTACCGACGCTACTCGCCTTACGACCATCCAGCTCGACTTCACGAACAACAGCTGCACATATGCATCTTCACACCGTGAATGCGACAAAGTGTTATTGATATATCAGAGACTATCACAGATGCCTTTATCGATGACACTCTCATACCCGCCCTGTATATTCCCCTTATCTGAATTGACCACGTAACTCGACATTGTGGGTGAATGCGATGGGGAATGATAATAACTGGAGGAAGATTTAGGAGAGACTCTTTCCCATGAGCACCGCTCTAGGTGTGTATTAAATACGAATGGCTCACTACAACTCGCTATGCCTAGCTATAGTGGTTTATACCCTTCCAATGGACGGCGGTCACTTGGGGTGCTGTTTGGAGTGAGAGGGGAGGACGAGCATAATAAGGCAGAGTCATATAGAGTATATAATAGTATCGCTGGAATGCCACTGACTGATGAAGGAATAAACTGTCCTGACTACTCCTTCTTGGCCTTCTTGCTTCCTCCTCCTACTACATAACGACCCACGAAGAACTGTGCGAAAAGAATGAGGTAGGCCGTATACCTGAATGAATGAGAATCGATCATAAGGAGATTGACAGCAGTACATGAGGAATGCCGCAGAGAGGTCCTGAGTAGCACCATCACAACGAGGAACTGTCCTCAAGGCGTAGTAGTGAATGGCCACGACGAACATACCTGAAATCGGCATATTTCTATTCGGGGTCTTCAGGGGTACTCACCGATGAGCATCTGAGCTATCTGTAGAATGGTAACAGTTAGGCCCCACCTAGGCTTATGACCAACTGATGATAGGAAGTAGTAGAAGTACATAATAGAATGGACCATATAGTTCATAGTAGCAAAGAAGATACCGGTAGGCTGTTCATAGGCTCCTGCATGCCAACAGTAGAGTAATACAGTAGCATGATGGAACCAATGAAGGAAGTTAACGTTCCTCTTCCTCAACACCAAGAAGGCAGTATCAACAAGCTCAATGTACTTGCTGAAAATGAACAGACCGACCCAAATGCCCGTGGGGCCAGGCCCATACGAGGCACCAACGTTACGGCAGACGAAGTAGAGAGGACCATTCGTGAAAGTTCCATTGAGAAGATGAGGTAATGTACGTAACATACCAGTAAATGAGAAGACAGCGAGGAAGAGGTTCCACAGCGCTAGCGGTTTCTTCAATTTGAATGCCTGGCGATTCTTCATGACATGTTGGCCCGTAGGAACCGCGATCAGATATAATCCGATCACTACATAAGACAACCACCAATAATGGCGCATAAACATCGTCTAAACATCAAACCATATGCGTGAGATCTCCAATGGGAATTTACTTACCATCTTAGCAAGGGCCGTTTCGGAGTCCTCCCAGGCCGCTGGACCAATGTATGGTATAGTCCATTCGGGCAGGGCCTCAGTATATAACGGATCCGTAAAACCATAAGAAGTTTGATTGGTGACTTCTTCACGGGTCCACATCTGAGTCCAGACCTCAGGGGACCGGTCCATGATGTTATCAAACGGCAGTTCGATCATTATTGACAGATTAACAAGAGTAGTGAAGGAGCGCACTGAGCTAATGACGAATGGAGTAGTTCCTCCCTCCCAAGGGCTAAGGACCAAAACTGTAAACCCAACACTCTTGTGAATTGCTACTAACTATGCCTCGATTGGACAAGACAGAAGCATTGTATGTTATATAGTTTGTATTAGTAGTGGAAGTAGAAGTGGTAGTAGTAGTGATAGTTACAACATTATAGCAGTAGTAATATGCCCTGCAAATAACCACGACAGTTGATCAGCAGCAGTCCACAGCGACAACAACAATAAAGTGGTAATATCATCAAGGCATGGTAGAACGACACTTCCACCTAACCTATTCCTACCACACCAGTTGCCCGGAATACCAACAACAACAACTCCTCCTCCACCGTATAATTCACATACCTACTGGGCCCAACCAATAGGCGCTACCATCACTGCTGATCTATCAGTAGTAGTGACAGTAAACAAGTATTTGCAATAATAGGACGCTATCCGATGAAAAAACACCGAGTATCATCCCCTCAACTAGTTTGACTTTTTCGAAGCATTCACGGCATCCTTCTTAGGAGCCACATAACGTCCAACGAAGAACTGTACGAAGAGGAGCATATAAGCTGTATACCTATAATAGAGAGGTAAGTATCAACAACGACACTTACTATGACTTACATCAAGAAGGCGGCAACTAGATCCTCATAGGCACCGTCACAGTTGGTAACATGTGAGATAGAGTAGTAGTGCACGGCTACCACGAACATGCCTGAAAAAGGGAGGAGATATGAACAGTTGAAGTTGAACCACGTTGCCTACCAGCAAACATCTGTGAGATCTGTAGAATGGTAACAGTTAGTCCCCACCTAGGCTTATGACCAACTGATGATAGGAAGTAGTAGAAGTACATAATAGAATGGACCATATAGTTCATAGTAGCAAAGAAGATACCGGTAGGCTGTTCATAGGCACCTGCATGCCAACAGTAGAGCAATACAGTAGCATGATGGAACCAATGAAGGAAGTTAACATTCCTCTTCCTCAACACCAAGAAGGCAGTATCAACAAGCTCAACATATTTGCTGTACATAAACAGGCTTATCCACAAGCCAGCGGGTCCAGTGCCATACGAAGCACTAGCATTACGGCAAACGAAGTAGAGAGGGCCATTCTGCCAGGTACCAGCCAAGAGCAAGGGAACGGTCCTAGTGACACCAATAAAGGAGAAGACGGCAAGGAAGAGGTTCCACAAGGCAAGTGGCTTCTTCAAGTTGAACGCCTGACGATTCTTCATAATACGTTGACCAACTGGAATAGCGATCAGGTACAAGGCGACTACCACCCAAGAAACCCACCAGTACTCCCGCATAATTTGGGTCTGAAAAAATAACGAGTAACATCAACAGCTAGAGGTTGTTGTTGCCATTGTTACTGTAAACTTGGTGTATTCGGGTGACCAGTTATCCCAATCAGTCGGGTAAAGTATCTTCGTTAACCACGTGGGGGTAACATCCTGATAAGTGAGATCCTTGAAACCATGAGTGGACGAATCGGAGATCAATGGCTTGATCCAGATATCGTTCCAATGCTTGTCTCGATAATCCTGCATAAGGTTGTCGGCTGGGAAGTTCATTATTGAGAAAGGATAGTTGCCTATAGCAGAACGATGAGGAAAAAAGGAAACTAATACAACAATTTTATGGACCTCAAGGAGGAGTCTAACAGTAAGCTGATACCAAGCTTATTCTCGGTCACGAATATAGAACCTACTAGACTTGAAGACAGAGGGAGAGTTCACCGCTCACGAGGAGGGCACAACGAGAGACAGTTGACGAGACGTGACGTCGCCACTTCCCCCCACAAACGAGAATGCCCGCACCGAACGCTTGAAAGCTTACACCCTCTACGGCTAACGGGTCGAAGGGTCCTACCGACACGACACTAAGGCTCCGCGAGGGAGGAGAAGGAGGAGGCAGGGTCTTGTTCGGGAGAACGCTACCGCATTAAAGACTTTCATTGAAAGCTTAGGAGCGATAATTTCGTGGCGCGCGACAACCCAAGAACAGAACGTAGACTTGAACGTATAGGAAGCTATTCATAATGGTCGTTAACATGATGAGGCATCCTCGAGCGAGGGACTACGAGGACATGAGGAACACTAGCTAGGTAATCAAACACAGCTTAGAAACTCAATCGAACACAGACACAGCTTTCATGCAGAGGTCTCCGGTTCGAACCCCGGTCATGGCATTTTCGAGAGTCAAAATGGAATTCGCACCGGCCCAGCCTTCTTCAATACCATCACTGACTCGATATATTGTCTATTGACGAGATCTAGAAACGGCTCACACAGTTAACTGAAAATGGGTCCTCCGCGGGGTTGTCCTACATGACGTGGGTGAATCCAAGATCCTCAGAGACTCCCGCGATGGTCATCATGGCATTTGGCAAATTCTGTGTTCGTGGAGACTAGCAAGAAAACATCCTTGAGCCTCCTGTTTTTGGAGTAAGTTGCTGAGTATCACACTGATATCAACTCATGCTGATACTGGCACGTATGCGATAGTACACATGTCCCATAGGAAGCACGTCGCTTCATCTTACCCACTACATAACACAAGACAATGAGGGGGACGGAAAGAAGGTTCCACAATGACTTAAGAACTACACGAACACGAAGAGATATTAGTAAGAATTGGAGAATGGATATTCAAGTGCCGTAACTCTAACCCAGAGCCTCACCAAGCCTACCAAGACTGAACGATAGATCACCCACAGAGGTCTATAGGAGACTAAGCAACATTGAGAGTGTCCGTTGGCTCGAGAGGCAACATGGGGAACACTACTAAATATACTACATACAAGAAGGACAATACAAAAACTGTGTTCAGTTGACGATATCAGAGATCCATAAGCAAATAGGAAGTAAGAGTTCAGTCCGCAAAAATAACTATCAATTCAACGACTTCCGATGCTGACCTTCCACCACGAACAGATCTCGAACAGTAGGGCCAGAGTGTCGTCAGCAGAGCGAGAACTATAAGAAATGCGCGGCTCAACCCGGCAACACACTCAACGTTCCTCGAAGGACGGACAACGCACATCGGCTAGAACCTGGCCAGCGGCCCTTCGTAACTCCACGTCTATATTGGGGTCGTCACTGATGTACTCCGACCGGGCAAGAGGAGATGAACATACAGTAGATGGTTCTGGGCTAGGGTATAGTACCACAGAGGGGGGTGTCGGAGCAGGTAAGTCTAGGGACTCTAGAGGGTCTACGGACTCCAAATCGACACAGTTGTCATAGAACGCATGAGCCCCTCCTCCACCACCATCAGCAGCTCCGACTAGGTCTCTCTCCTCTTCCCTCTGTTTACCACGACATAGCTTAAAGATTAACCAGGTAATGAGGCAACCCGATATGGCGGCCAGCAGGACTCCGCAGACTATTCCTGCTATATCTCCTGGTCCGATCCTAGAATCAGGCGACTCGGCATTCGAACCAGCATCACCCTCGGTGGTTCCGTCGTTAGGCTGATGAACCCCTGAGAACAATCACTCACGGTTTTCCTTTCCTAGCTCACACCATACCTTCTGGAGGTCCTGAAGTTGGAAGGTCTGTAGTAGTTACCATTGGTGATGACATCCGTTCGGATGGTCCGCGAGGAGATTCAGGGGGCTGTGTCGTGGGATAGATGAAGCCACCATGATCTACGATGGAACAAGAATTCAACACTCAGCCCTTGTTCAATATTCCACACATTACCATTTGCAGCCACATCGTTACTGTAGGCGACAAGATGGTCAAATAGGGTATCATGGTCCCCTTCGGTAACGCAGTAGTTGAGATCCATCACTACCAACTGTCCTACATACTCCTCAAAAATACTGTTGTTGCCGAATAAGATGAGATCATAAGAACCCACTCCGAGGGCGTAGGGCGCATAAGTGAACACCTGAAGATCGAATATTTACAAAAGTAACTGCATACTAGGGAGATGACGGTCCGCAGCGATCCTAGACAGAGATGCTCAATAACTATGCTTCCGCACAATCACTGCTAAGTCCCCTTGCACTACCTTCACTACGATGCGACTATAAGCGTATTCGGCCATGAGATTATCAACTTGGGGAGGAGCACGGCGGCGCGCTTCAATGCCGGAAAGACCGAAATCAACCTCTTGCCCAAACCCCGACCTGACGATGATGGCAGTGAGAAAACTACCTCTGGCCAAGAACCTACATGACGCGGCGTCTGGTGTCATCTGTGGGATGGGCAATAAGGGTGGAGTCTATACCAGCCGGCACGGACAGTGAAATAGAACATGCCTCGGCCGTCGGACATACTATATGCTTGAAACCAGCTGACGGTTGGGCGATTTTGGACGTTGACCCATCTCCAAGGGAAGAGGGCGTTACTCTTGGACCAGAAGGACCACCCGATACCATATGGCTAGGCTGATTGGTAGCAGTAGATTCCCTTATCGAGCCGTTGACGGTAACAGGTGGGCTTTCAGGAGCGGCCTCAACCAGGGTCTGCTGTTTATGGTTTCTTTCAGCTACCACAGTCTTCTCCCATCTCGGCTTAGTCTCCGTGGTTACACTGGACGCAGACGGTTGATCACCAAGCCTTCGTTGTGGTACTGGATATGACAGCCTAGGACCTACACAGCGAGCAATTCTCCTTACGTAGCAAGAAGCTTCGTAAACAAAGTTCAACTATATTATATACGACTCTTAATCTACACCGAGCCGTACCACTAGCATCTAGTATGGCACAACGCGGTGGCTAAATATCGTGGATTACTCTCATAACACAACCTAGTACATTGCGTCCCTTAAAGGCTTATTTTGCCCTCGGCAGGATGAATTTCTCTGACCGAGGTTCTTCAAGATGGGACTATAGAATATACCTCAGTACAATCAGTTTCGACCAGACAAGCCGGCAATGCCGCATCGAGAAATGCCTCATAATACCACAAGACCACGACGTAAGACTGCGAATTTCATGACAATACCGCGAAGTAACGCCGCTTGAGAGGAATAACGGAGCTTAACTCTGCTATCGATGATTGGAATCCTGCTTGAGAGCAACTCCTATATGTATTAATAGTAATATAACACCAATATCGTTATTTTGTCGATAATATGATATATCATTAATCATATATTATATATCATATACTATTTTATCATATAATCTTATTAACTATATAATAATAATGGCTGGCCATCTCAGTACTCCCGATTTGATGTATTATACAATATCCGTCGTGAGATGGCATACGGACGATCGGGCGGGGTACGCCGGCTAGTTTGAGGCATATATTGAGATGGCATAGCTGCCCCGTTTAGGGAGATTGGTTCTACCCAGACATATCTTGGCGTGGCATAGCTGCCCCAACCGGAAGAATGGACTCAACACATGTATGTATTGACGTGGCATAGATGCCCCAACCGAAGGAATAGACTCAACACATGCATTTATTGACGTGGCATAGTTGCCCCAACCGGAGGAATGGACTCAACACATGCCTGTCTTGACGTGGTATAGATGCCCCACCCGAGAAAATGATTGCGCTAAGAGATATTTCGGGATGGCATAGCCGCCCCAAATATAGAAATCGTTCCGACTATAAGTGTCCAAATAAATATTGAACAAGTGTGGTATTCTAATATTACTCCCCTACCCGACTTATAATAACAGAGAAGCTACAACAGACGTGTCTTCTTCATCATTCACCTTCTGGGAGGGACCCATCGCAAAATGTCATGGAGACGGGTTATCTCAGCAGGGGATTTAACAGAATTTGTGATGGTTTTTTTACGACGAGAGTCATAACAAAACACCCTATCAATACCCAAATCCCAGTTATTACTAGAAGCAGCCATTACTCGGTCGACGATGACCCATAGGAATAACAGCAATGTTGAAGGGAGGGGGGCACTCCTACTTGAGTGAGACCCCATTCATAAGAAACAACCTGAAAAGAACACCACCTCTGAGCCAGACCGTAATGTCAAGGTAGTCTCACAAAACGAGGTTCATTTCTAGCCCCGCATATTTCAGCTATATGGTTAACATCAGGATCGAGAACAGACTCATTTTCCCCTTTCATATACGGGACAGTATACTAACCCCCTATAGAATCGTGGTCCAGCGCGATGCAGAGAAGACTTATCAATAAAACACTCTACATATGGGTGCGACAGAGTGAGCGTCTTTCCTGAAACTTCACGAACAAGTGGCGCAAGTCGTAAAGAGAGAGTATCAGAGGAGAGTGAACAGGCATTGAGCCTGGAAAAGGAACCGTACCGCACACTATATATTATGGAACGCTGGCTCGTGCGTGTATTTTGCATACCGCGATTATGCCGTTGTCTACTCTTTTAGTGTGGTCATCACAACTCTACTCCACTTGAGGGGCTTCACTCACTATCCGTAAAACTCAAGGAAGAGGCTTGTAATAACAAATCATGTTGTTTTGATCAAAATGAATATCGTTACTGATCACTGCCCAGCGTCGTATCTCTCACGTCACTCTGGCCCGGCATAATGGTGACTCTTCCAGGTGAGCTGTCACCAAGACGGAACCCTGAGAGATGCGTCATAGCTGATCATGAATGAGTAGATCTATTGGCTTCACCCTCTCCTGAGAAGGCTTGGAAACTCGTGGCTTGATTCCCAAACAGACTGCCTTCCATATTGCCGCGGTCGACCCTCGATACATCACCCCTTAGCCTATCCGGACTCACGTTATTGACCTTAGAAATGGCAGGATGTAGTCCATATAAGAGGCACCTCACATTAGTCGCTCCGGCTATATAGCTGTCTCTAAGCTCCTTAAGTAGGGTCCAGCCATAGTATACACTGGCCATATTAAGGACAGGATGCAGTATCGCTGCCAAATGGACATAGTTCATGATGAGAGGCGCCGCGCCAGCAAAGATAGGCCCATGACCATACGCGAACCGCTCGATAAGGCCGAGGAACTGAACAGTGAAGTATTGAATGCCCCAGTCTACGAGCCATTCTTCACTTGAATAGAACCGTTGATGAAACAGATAACGGTATAGCTGGGCAGCCAAGATACCCCCTGTGGCTGAGTAGAGTACCTACGTCCCACATTAGGGTTGACATTCGCACTGCAAACTCACATGCCGATGCCTGCCATCAACGTATTGACGAAACCTGTGACAAGATCACCCATCAGGAACTCCACTACACCTGAACGATAGAAATGAGCACCGGCCGCTGCTGAGTAAGAAGCTCACCGAGGGAGCCTTGTAGAACGCTGCTGATCAAGAGGCCCTTCATTGCTGATTTACCCGCATCCCTGTGTGAAGACAAGACCTCAGCTGTGAAGGCGTTCGAGAGGCTCACGTCAATGGGAATCCCATGCGGTCCACTTCAATCGTTAATGGTATGATTATTGGTATGCAGGCCACAGCCAGTGGGGCTGGAGTCGATACCATGGCCTGTAGGCTAACCACTGTCGTTGATAGGGGGCCTATCTACACACAAGGATAACCCATAAGGGTTATACAGAAAACCACACAATAATCAGAACAGTTGGCAAACTCGAATATCGAATGACTCATACCTTAAATTCAACTCCTTGTATCACATGGGAGTTTACATTTCCCATTGGGAAATTCCCAATAGCGCAGTAACCCGACTCACCATACACCCTCCCCCCCATAAGTAGTATTACCAGTTGTATGATTCTATCATTGAGCTTAACTGAAAGTAAGCTGCCATTGCGTCCTCCTCTCTGCCTCCGGCCCCGCTCCTCCCTCGATGGCCCCAGCCAGAAAAGACAGGCCTGATGCTGCGAGTCAGAAGTGACGGTGACACTGCGCGGTGTCACACCTTGCTCTGCCTCCTCCTTATCTTGGGCACATTACTATACCCAAATATAAAGTCTATCCCGACGCTACCATTCGAAGGGCCCATCACTGCCGTTTGCGATGACGATGACATCAACGGCACTAAACAGCTGCAGAATACGAATGCCCCCCCGCACTATAACAAATTAATGATGTCGTCAAATGCCACTTGATTATATTCCTCCCATTGTGAAGGCGCCCCTCTATCGGGCAGATAGCAGACAGTAGGGGAATATACTCCAGAATGGGCTGCTTTACTGAACGGCCAGGACTTGGCATTGTTCACTCATATTTTGAAAATTATGTTATCATTTTGCCGTATTTTCTATGCTGTTGTATTGTTCACTTGTTTGAAACAAGCTGTTTCCCATAATTCCACACAAGCATGCCCAAGTCAGTCGTGAAAATACTATTATGCGCTAACGAGAAGATATACCATACACACAGTTTATTAACTGTAGAGTTTCTACAGTAGAAACTGAACACAACAGGTCGTCATACAGCCAGAGGACAAATTCACTAGCACGAACCATTCAACGGTACCATGAGCTACTTCTGTTGGCTCTTCCCCTCGCTGTTAACGTCGATCCTTCTTGTCAACTCTTCAGGTAGGACACAGAAAAGGTGCGCCTACTAAAATCTGTGTAGGCTATGAATCAGCGCTACAGAGAACTAACGATAATATTAATACTAGCCGTGTAGTATTAATACATTGACGAGGCAGACACCCCAAAGAGAAGGCGCTATTAAAAGTACAAGGCATGAGTGGATACAGCCAGCAGTAGCCAACAACGACAGACGGAGAGATAATGTCAAACTCGACTCAGGAAGCCTCTCAGTATGAGCACCCTCGTGACGGTAGCAGCCATTAGGCCGTAGCCTATATAATAAAATAGATGCAAAGCACGTCGCTCATCGCACTCCCACCCACTTGTCGAACTCGACAGTCCCGCCCTTGGGCCATGAAATGATCCGTGATACCGCGAGGTCCCGATGGAGAGTGGAGCCATGATTTCTGCCATCAGCAGATCCACAATTATCCAACTCACCAAGGGACCTGCCTCACCCAACAAGGGATCCGGATCATCCATGGCATGATGGGGGCACAGTAACACACTACCGCTGAGATGAGGAATTCCTGAACGATCTAGATCCGCTTCTACTGTCTGCTAACACAAGAGAGCTGTTGGGCTGAATCAGCCCACCTTCTACTGCTATCAGATAGCTCTGCCATCAAATCAAGTATATACGGCGCAACCATGCCCGTGCTGGATCAGGCATCGTCTGCAGCTGCTGGCCCCTTCTGAGCCAATGATTCACGGCACTGCTCGAAGTTGACACCATCTACGGCCAGCCCTCGCTCTCCGTCTCTTCGGAATGTGGGAAGTTCCAGCACCGGTGAGTCGGACCGTATCCGCAAACTCCCATCTCGCACCTGCCGCAGCTGTTCGTTCGCCTGCAGGCCGACCCGGCAAAAGTTGAGCTCATCACAAGAAGTGCTTCTTTGATGTATATGTTGACGCACGACGAGTCTTTAGACCACCGTCCAAACGCTCTGATTTGGCTGCCTTCGAAATCAGCTCTTGTCAGCATGTGGCACCCACCCCGTCGCAGACTGTGCAAGCAGAAAACGGTCGGCCCACAAATCCCTGCCATCTCCAAGTTTCTTCGGAACCACTCTCGTAAAGTTGATTTCCGCAGAGGTTGGCCTAGAGCATCGATTAGAGGCTGATCTTCCACAGACCCCTACTCTGTGCGCCTCATATCCAGCAGTATTCGAGCTACTCCTCTCGGGCAAAACTCACAGTCGATTTCTCCCGATATCCTGTACACATGTACCACCAACTCCCTAGATATCAGTCCCACTCTTTTGTTTCCCTCGTCCACTGCGACGTCTGACAGTTTGAGATCACACATCACGCTCCCTCAACAGGAACCAGCTCCTGTGGATGTAGCTAGCCGCTCTGCGTTTCCCCTGTGGGCTGTGGGGATTGGGCAGCACTGCTCTCAGCTCTGTCGGGCTTACCGGCCTAACTCGCCAGGGAGTCCCCAGCCCTCCCTTGGGTGCCCGTTTCTCTCTCTTTGGACAGGCTCTCTACAGGCTCCGAGCAGCGAGCTCTGGGAACAAGCCTCCGCGTCTCCAGTGACTCGTAAGTAATGAGAAATGGCAACAAACCATGCTCTTCACACACTTCGATCCACAATTTTACCCTCGAGTCGTTCGATCGACGTGTTGATGTCGCAAACATGCTCGCCCGCAGCTTCTGCCTCGCCTGCCGACGTCCTTCGACATTTCCCGGCCGCAACAGTCGCCTCACTCTCATGATGCTGCCCCGGCTGGTGTTTAGAGGGCTGCCGCGGCGTTCTGGCATGTAACGAATAACAACTCTCCACCAGACTCCCGGATTAGTCGCCGGAGTCCGTATACACAATTGCCACCGAGGCCCAAATGTAGCCATTGGGGGATACGGACGAGAAACGCCTCAGGCATAGTCTAGCTCCAGCTTACCCCATCGTGGGCAGCCAGTGGCTGCCAGCCACTGCTACGAAGGTGCGAACCGCGGTCACGTCGCGACCGCGAGTGCCGATCTATCAACCAGATCAAAAGGCAATCGCCTGCACCACCGCAAGTCCTCTACAGCCAACACACACTCCCCCCAAAGGGACAAATAGCAACACGTGGTCGCGGTGCTACCCTAATATGAATGACTTTGATGCACTAAAGTCTTTAGTCTAAAGATTCGACTCTGATGTCAGAGTTTGAATGAGTCCCATCGTGGACGAGCCACCATCTCAGCTACGCGTGGTCACAGCGTGACCCAGAGCTGGCAAACCGATGTATAACACGTTGTATATAGTCTGGCTCCAGCGCGTCCCAACATGGACAAGCCACTGCCCTCAAACAGCTACGCATGGTCACAGCGCGACCAAGAGCTAGGCGAACAGATGTATAATGTACATTGTATACAGTCCGGCTCCGACGAGTCCCATCATGGACAAGCCACTGCCCTCGAACAGCTACGCATGGTCACAGCGCGACCGAGAGCTAGGCGAACAGATGTATAATGTACATTGTATACAGTCCGGTTCCGACGAGTCCCATCATGGACAAGCCACTGCCCTCGAACAGCTACGCATGGTCACAGCGCGACCGAGAGCTAGGCGAAGTGATGCACACAGCCCGCTTCGACAAGAACCATCGTGGACGAGCCACTGTCCCCGAACAGCTACGCACGGTCACAGCGCGACCCAGAACTGAGTTGCAAACTGAGCAATTGAGCTACCTCTAGCAAATCGACTCGGAAACATTGAGCGAATCAACCACCGGCTCTTCCGCACACAGCTAGGCCATCGTGCCGGGCAATAGGGGTTGGAACGGCCTCTGACCAAAACTTCTCGTCTCGCAGCGGGCAGAGAACCATTTTACGGTCGAGTGCAGCTATCAGCGCGACCTTTACGGCGAGCCGGTTCATAATCTTTGTCGATGACCATTGTCTCATCATAACACTGGCCTCCAAGGAAATCCGTCTCGAAGACCATTCGGCTGCAGTCGGCGAGTCACGAAACCCACAGCTTCAGGGCGACGGTGATGGCCAGAAGCTCGAAACATGACTGAGTACTGCAGGATCCACGTTCAACCCCAAGAGTCGCCACGTCGTTGTCCCAAATGAGATCGGCAAAGTAAGAGATTGGAGTTACTTTCGCATGGGGAGGCCCCCTTAGAATACCGCCTATTCCCGGAGGAGACGCGTCAACGATGATACACGCCCTCGGAGGATTTCTATAGGACAGACGATGCACTCTGGTTAGACAGTGTGACTCAGAAGCTCGAAAGCCGTCCAACAGTGCCAAACATAGGAACAACCATAACCCCCAAAGCGAGTCACTCCGTTCGCCAACGACACGAATGACTTCTGGGTCGCCTGTGCATGAGCCGAAATGCGCCATAGCGGTTCTAGGATTCCTAGGCTAGGAATGCAAATAAATAGAGGACCACATTCCCAGCCAACGCTGCCTTCCCGCAAAATGTCCTCAGGAATCTACTCGACGACCTCAACCATTTTCCAACATTTCTGTAGCCAGCTTGCCCCTCGCCGAAGTTTTATCGGCCGGTACAGTCTGTACCGTGCAGGCACCAGGATTTCATTCTAGTCGAAGACGGAACGAGAAAAAAAAATACAATGATCCAAGTGGACCAACAACTACACAGGACTCATATCGCCTCGGAATCGCTACCCTTCAATCCATCGCAACATCACTTAGGGAACAATCGTACATCTCGGGCGCGCGCTCTTAGCTCGTGATTTGCACTTCCTAGCACTTCGTGCCCTCCAATACACTCGACGGAGACGACTCCTTGTGCCTGACTGTGGTTTATACGCTATAATCCGTGGCCTCCGCGCAGCAGCAGTACGTATGGAACTTCCAAGTCACGTTTTTTTCGCAGGTTCGATCCCCGGTTGCTCCATTTTTTCTATCTCCTCGCGCTACATACTAACTACAGAACAGATGTAAACCCGTAGTGAGGTAGACCCTACCGACTACTGATCCATGCAGCTGCCCCCTGCCACAGGATGCGCAACTGCACTTGTCGCAAATTCCTCTTACATGGAGGCCCTTCCTGATTGGCATTACCGTAAAATAGTCAACTTTTATCCGCCATCTTCTATGGCTCGCTTCCCGTCCCCCGCAGTCGTCGAGGAGGAGGATGTTGAGTTAAAGAAAAAGAAGAAGAAGAAACACTCCAAAAGTAAGAAGAAGTGCCTCCCCTCCCCTACTCTATTGCTATCTCTTTCAGAGCGCAAGGCCGAAGAGATCGAACCCGCGCCTATCGAGGGTAATAACGTTAATCCAACTACTGTGTTGTCGTCCATCTCGCGCTGACCTGTTCGCGATGAACTGTGGTGAAAGGTGTCTTGTGTGTAGGTGAGGAGGAGGAGGAACTTGTCGAGTCCTTGGAGCCTGTCAAAAAGAAGAAGAATAAACATTCAAAAAGTAGTACGGGGTTCTCATCCATCGTTTTTACAGTTGCTTTATTATTCAGAGAGGAAGACGGATGAGCCTGAGGAAGAGGTAGAGGCTGTTGAAGGTGATTAGGAATTGGATTTTGCGTAATCGTGATGCGATTTATTTCTCAGAGGTCACAATTGAGAAGAAGACCAAAAAGAAGCATTCTAAGAGTAGCTTGGGAAACGATTCGGGATTAATCTCTTCGTGATGGTCTCTATGTGCCACTGGGGGATGCTGCGTGTGCTCTTTCTTCAGAGAATCGCCACCAGCAAGAGGATGCCGAGGAGGCTGTTGCTGCCGGTAGTGTAGGGCGTATAGGTGGACCGGGGGAGAGTCTTTCTCTTGCAGTTCCTGTAGAGGACTCGGCTGAACCTGAGAAGAAGAAAAAGAAGAAACATTCTAAGAGTAGTGTAGTGGCCAGAGAGCGATGATGGACTTATTGAGTTTTTAGAGCATGAGGTTGTCGAGGAGGAGGAGGAAGCCGTTGAGGTTGAGGAGGAGATGCCTAAGAAGAAAAAGCACTCGAAGAGTACTATGAGTAGACATTACGGCTTCGTTGGGTTCATTTTCGCCTCGATCAGAGCATCTCAAGAATGTCGAGGAAGAGAAGGAGGAGAAGGCTGTTGAGGAAGAGGAGGCACCCAAAAAGAAGAAGCACTCCAAGAGTATTAACGATAAGATAGCGGGGAGGAGCATGCTGGTATGTGTCTGTTTTTAGAGCATCGCAAGGCTTTAGGGGAGGAAGAGGAGGAAGCTGCAGCTCCAAAGGAGAAAAAGGAGAAGCACTCCAAGAGTAATGTTCCTGTTTGCTCATTGGTGGCTGTTAATCCTTGTTCGCTTGTCTTTAGGGAAGGCACAACCTGTTGGGGAAGAGGAGGCGGAGGAGGTTGTGGTAGCCAAGAAGCCCTCCAAGAGTAAGGTGGATCTCGTGGCTCTTTACTGTGTACTGTGGTGCTGTCAGAATCGAAGAA